GTAGGTTTGTTGGGTGTCTGTCCACAAGGATATAATGGCATGACTTGCAGGAGAGGTAGGTTTGTTGTGTGTCTGTCCACAAGGTTATAATGGAATGACTTGCAGGACAGGTAGGTTTGTTGTGTGTCTGTCCACAAGGATATAATGGCATGACGTGCAGGACAGGTAGGTTTGTTGGGTGTCTGCTCACAAGGATATAATGGCATGACGTGCAGGACAGGTAGGTTTGTTGTGTGTCTGTCCACAAGGATATAATGGCATGACGTGCAGGACAGGTAGGTTTGTTGTGTGTCTGTGCACAAGGATATAATGGCATGACGTGCAGGACAGGTAGGTTTGTTGTGTGTCTGTCCACAAGGATATAATGGCATGACGTACAGGACAGGTAGGTTTGCTGTGTATCTGTCTACATGGATATAATGGCATGACGTGCAGGACAGGTAGGTTTGTTGTGTGTCTGTCTACAAGGATATAATGGAATGACTTGCAGGACAGGTAGTTTTGTTGTGTGTCTGTCCACAAGGATATAATGGCATGACGTGCAGGACAGGTAGGTTTGTTGTGTGTCTTTCCACAAGGATATAATGGCATGACGTGCAGGACAGGTAGGTTTGTTGTGTGTCTGTCTACAAGGATATAATGGAATGACTTGCAGGACAGGTAGGTTTGTTGTGTGTCTGTCGACAAGGATATAATGGCATGATGTGCAGGACAGGTAGGTTTGTTGTGTGTCTGTCAACAATGATACAATGGCATGACGTACAGGACAGGTAGGTTTGTTGTGTGTCTGTCCACAAGGATATAATGGCATGATTTGCAGGAGAGGTAGGTTTGTTGTGTGTCTGTCTACAAGGATATAATGACATGACGTACAGGACAGGTAGGTTTGTTGTGTGTTAGTTCACAAGGATATAATGGCATGACGTACAGGACAGGTAGGTTTGTTGTGTGTCTGTCCACAATGATATAATGACATGACGTACAGGACAGGTAGGTTTGTTGTGTGTCTGTCCACAATGATATAATGGCATGACGTACAGGACAGGTAGGTTTGTTGTGTGTCTGTCTACAAGGATATAATGGCATGACGTGCAGGACAGGTAGGTTTGTTGTGTGTCTGTCTACAAGGATATAATGGCATGACGTGCAGGACAGGTAGGTTTGTTGTGTGTCTGTCCACAAGGATATAATGGCATGACGTGCAGGACAGGTAGGTTTGTTGTGTGTCTGTCCACAAGGATATAATAGCATGACTTGCAGGACAGGTAGGTTTGTTGTGTGTGTGTCTACAAGTATATAATGGCATGACGTACAGGACAGGTAGGTTTGTTGTGTGTCTGTCCACAAGGATATAATGGCATGACGTACAGGACAGGTAGGTTTGTTGTGTGTCTGTCCACAAGGTTATAATGGCATGACGTACAGGACAGGTAGGTTTGTTGTGTGTCTGTCCACAAGGATATAATGGCATGACGTGCAGGACAGGTAGGTTTGTTGGGTGTCTGTCCACAAGGATATAATGGCATGACGTACAGGACAGGTAGGTTTGTTGTGTGTCTGTCCACAAGGTTATAATGGCATGACGTACAGGACAGGTAGGTTTGTTGTGTGTCTGTCCACAAGGATATAATGGCATGACGTGCAGGACAGGTAGGTTTGTTGGGTGTCTGTCCACAAGGATATAATGGCATGACGTGCAGGACATGTAGGTTTGTTGTGTGTCTGTCCCCAAGGATATAATAGCATGACGTGCAGGACAGGTAGGTTTGTTGTTCTGCTGTTGACAATGGTTTTGATGAGGATGATGATACTCTTATTCTTAGGGTACACCGGCTGCAGCTCTGATGGAAAGTTCTGGGTGTTCATACACTTCTGTACTTTAGTTTCTGTTCCAGAACTTGAGTTTTACCAGCTGATTCAATTGGACAGAGTGGGCTTATTTGTGTGCAGGGTATTGGCTCTTTAGGTCTCAAGCAGATGCAGTCTGACTTTGAAAGAAAACCCCCTAATTAGCAGACTTTTACGATCACCTTAAGTGTCATCAGTGAGTGGTGACAAAATGGCAAAATATGTGCTTTTACAGTCACATATATTTGGCACCTGGAACACTTAACCTTGCTATGCTACTCACTATAAGAATCTGTTTATTTAACACATAATGGATTTACCTGAGATTATACGAGTAATGTAAATGTCTTGAAAAATGCATGTACAGTGGATGTCTTCTTCTTCTTTGCGTTCACCAGCTGTAAACTCTGGCGGAAAGTTTTGGTTGTTCATTCACTTCTGAGTTGCAATCGTGTTTCAGAACTGAGTGTTGCGTGTGCATACGGTTTACAGATCTAACCCATTTGAATGCAGACTGCTGGTTCCTTGCCTCTCAGGCAGATGCAATCTGACTTCGAAAGAAGTTCTAAATTAGTCGACTCTTACGACATGCGTCTGGGTAGGCAGTAGGTCTATTTTTGTTTTACTTACAATAGGCCCCGAAACCCACACGAGGAAACAGTGGATGTGAAATATTGGTTCTTACAGTCTGCTTCAGGCGTGACAGGAGTATACGGATTACAAGAGCAGACCTCTATTTTATAAACCAATCGAAACAAGATGGGTGACATGGTCAGCATCACGCTGGCCGCCTTTACTTCCCGGGAATGCACCCGGTACCCACTCACGGCCTGGTCGGCCTGGAAGCCAAGGTCATTTTTGAAGAAAGTCCGGCTCCGCCAGGGAGCGAACCCACGACCTTCCGACCCACAGAGTCTAGCCGCTCTGCCACGTCGACTCTCACAGACAGCTATGGATAACAGCAGTATTTCACAGAATCTGTATTTCTGACTGTAAAATCAAAAGTTTCGTGACTCCGTCAATGTCACAGACTATAAGAACTCATATTTCACAAATATGAGCTCTGAGTTAGCACAGCACTTGCCTGGCGGCCCAGTCATCACATTCAATCTGCCCCGAGATAGATTTTTTTTTCAACATTGTCCCAGGCAATAATGAGTACCAGGTAATGTTTCAAGATGCAAAGGCGGTCGGCATGATTTTGGCTACACTATACATCGAACGCTGATTGGTTTATTACAATAAAGAAACATCATGAAGAGCTATCAGATAAATAAGGGAATGTTGCGGCTAAGAAACATTCAGCAGCACATGACATGATTAGACCATATTACTAAAAAATAGATGTCCTTTCCTATATTCTATACTATATAGTATATTTACTCACGATATACTTTAGTTACTATTTCACAAACATTATTCATACCCATTTTCAGGTGACAAGAATCTATACTGCTCTCTCCCGGCCAATAGAAGTAATGTGTTCTGGAACGCGGCAGTATGCAACGACGTAGTCATAGACTGTTTCGTCGCTGGACTCAATGACCAAAACGGACTTGATATCAAAACCACACAGATGACCAACAGTAGCAGCCCTTTGCTAACAGTCAATGCCCGGGTGTCCGAAACGACAGTTTTCTTCAACGTATGCACACAGGCCGGTATAGCCGAAGGACACTATCAGGTGAGATTTGTTGATTAATCTTCTTACTCACGTGTCTCTTGTTTCGTTCTGTTTTGGGTTTTCCCCCTGTAATCCGTAAGACCAAACCCTCAAGGATGAGAATCACACAGGAGCAAATCCAGGAAACACCATTCATGTGTATAATAATACAAAAGACAAAGTAAAAGTAAAGGACCTTTTCCCACGCCTTTAGGCCTATTGGTATTTGGGCTAAACCTATTTTGGTTAGATCAAACGGCACTTGGTGGGTGATGTGATCAGCACCACGCCGGCCGCTTTTGTTTCCCAGGACTGCACCTGGTATCCACTCGAAGCTAGGTCGACCTGGGAGCCAAGGCCAATTTTAAAAAAGGCCCCCCCCCCCCCTTGTCAGGATCCGAACCCACGACACTTCGATCCGCATGCGAGCGTCTAGCCACTAGACCACGTCGGCTCCTTGTATAGAAATAGAGCACAGTTATTTTGGGGCGCTCAACTCTCCTAAAGAAAGCAGCTCACAAACTTGGACTAGTTATCAATCACAATAAGACAGAATAACGAGACAGGGAAAGTATATAAACTCCGGCCACATACAAATCGATAATATGAAAATCAAACGAAGGGAAAATATAAGTGAATTAACCTGTCAATGTTGGGATACTATGTCTGTTCTGCTGCACTTTCTACTTGATTTCAGTGAGCCTTCACTACTGTGTCATGAAGTAGCTCATTACAAAAGTATTTAACTTGGGTGCAAATTTCAACTGCTCCAGCACGCAGAGAGAAGAAATACAATCTAAAATACAATCTGGAAATAACGTATACTATGCCCTTCAACATCTACTAAAGTCACAGTCTCTATCTCGCAACACCAAGATCAAAATCTACAAAACGCTGATAAGACTATTTGTTTTGTGGCTGTGAAACTTGGAACACAACCAGAAGAGATAAAGCCTTATTACAATATTTCGAAAACAGTCTTATATATTTGGACCCAGCAAAGAATAAAACGGAGGGGAATGGAAAGTGAGAAGCAACAACAGAATTCATTTTCTGTTTAAATCACCATTGATCACTGGCATCAGGAGAGCTAATAGACTGAAATGGCTGGTGCATATAAGAGAATCTCAGAAGACAGAGAGGTAAAAACTGTATACACAAGGGAGCTGAATGGTCGTAGACCACGAGGCAGACCAAGAAGACGATGGAGAGATAATACTCAGACAGATCTGCAATCACTTGGCGTCATCAACTGGCAACTGGACTGAGAAGGCCAACCAGAGAGATGAATCGAGACTGCTAATATCTGCAGCAATGAACCTCAAGAGCTCGGAATGTTGACGAAGAAGAAGAAGAAGAAAAAGAAAAAAAAAAAGAAGAATTCGACATTGGGGCCCCACAGAACGATTACGAAGAAGGGAAGTCTATGCCACCTAGCGTTTGGAGAGAAGTCTATGCCGCTTAGAGTCTGGAGGGAAGTCTATGCCAC